TGCTAACAGCTAACGTCTGATGTTGTTTTTCTGTGGTTCGCATTGAAGATGACGTCATGGCTCCGCCTACACTGCGTTACTATAGTTACGGCCCCTACACATGGCGGCGTGCGTTGCCGCTTCAACGCTTCTGCCCATTCACTTTGAATGGGGTGACGTCACGATTCGCCGAACTGCATTGTGGGAGCAAAGCGTAGCTTCTTCGCAGCGTGCTCGCTGCCAAGTATGGCAATGGTCTACTTTTGACGCCTTCGATGAGGCGTCACCAACTCGATCTATGCCAGTACAAGCTCTAGGCCAATCAAACCGCGTGCTTGTGTGTCTGGGGGGGAGATTCCATGTGATTGATGCCTTGCTGGTGGTCTGAAGGATCGCCTCCGTCTATGTTATCTTCATGTTCAGTCCTGTCGCTGACTGTACTAGCGTTACTCATGGACATTATGCTGTTACGGCCCGTCCACACGGCGGTGTGCGTTGAAGCTTCAACGCTTCTGCCCATTCACTTTTAATGGGGTGACGTCACACTTTGCCGAACTGCATTGCGGGAGCGTCGCTTCGCTTTGCTCGTGTTGCTCGTTTCAAGTTGAGCAATGTTCAACTTTTGAAGCTTCGACGGAAACGTCAGCAAATCAAATCATATGCCAGTACAAGCTCTAGCCAATCAAACCGCATGCTTGTGTGTCCGGGGCGGGAGATTCAGGTGATTGGTTGTTGGTTGAGCTTCAGACACGCCCACTGGCAAGCTTCAATGCACGCCGCCTTGTGGACGCTGCGTTACTGCCCCAGCTACTAAACAGTAATGGAAACGCAGCATAAAGTGAGCCTGGCCTAACAAGGCTTAACTATACCGTAGTAAGCCGAGCGAGGCCCTGCAATGGAAATGCGCAATTAGTGGGGTCTTGATTCAAACCCATTCATTCAGAGGCTGGGGATGCCATGCAAAGGGCCGCCTGCTCAGTCGTGGAATGTTACTAAGTACATTTACTCAATTGCTGTGCTTAAGTACACATTTGAGGTACTAGAACCCAAGTATTTTCCTTTTATTTTCATTTTCAACTACTTTATACTTCTACTCTACTACATTTAATGAAGCAGATGTTGTACTTTTTACCCCACTGCATTAATGTTTCAGATGTATTCACTAGTTACTTACATTCTAAACTATAAAGAAAAAACATTTAAAATATTATTATTTGGTATAGATTAAACCATTCCAAAATGGTATTTAAGTAACTCAAAGTAACTTAAAAGTGGGCAATTTTGCTAAAAGTATTTCATAGTTCCAGCTTCTTAAAGGTGAAGATTTACTGAGTACTTTTACTCCTGATGCTAAGTATATTTCTTAATCGTACTTACAGTAAATACTTTTTCTTAAGTATCATTCTTGATGCAGTACTTTTACTTGAGTATTTTTACAGTGTGGTAGGCCTATCAGTATTTTTACTCAAGTAAAGAATCTCAATACTTTTTCTACCACTGCTCCTGCTCATGGAAGCTAACATTCACACACATTCACACAACCACATATAACCCAGAACCTTCCAGTTGTTAGATGCCCGCAAAACCTTACCTCCACAGAAGCCAATAAGGGACAATAAGGAACATTAAAATGTTTACATTGTTTAACATGTCCCAAACCAAAACACACATACAAATCAACTCTCGTAACTGACCTGAGTTGTGCAGGTTGATGCTGCGTAGTTTGGGGAAGAGCTTCAGCAGGATATCTTTGCTGTCTTCAATGGAGGCCAAGTTGTTGTTTGCCATAATGAGCGTGTCCAGACTGGGGAACATGGAGCCAAACTTGCGGACCTCGGCCCAGTCCTTGAGGCTGTTGTCGGTGATATGAAGGAGGCGCAGGCTGGGGCAGGCCATACTGGAGGCACTCACACTACTATACTCATTAAGGCACAGGAACAACTCCTCCAGCCTGCAGAAGTGAACAGGGTGTGGGAAAAGGTGATACTCTGCCTGGTCACATAGAATTAAGTTTGTCCATTACACAAAATATTTTCTTAGAGAGGACATATGTTGCTTATTTTCAGAAACTCCCTCTGAAGGGAACACAGGGATTTTAGCCTTTGCAGGCCATTTACATGCACTAAACCTATATAAACACACTACAGGAAAGAGAAACCCCCAAAAAGCATGTTCCCCTGTCAAATTTAAATCTTGTCTTATGAACAATTTGAAAATATGATTGTCTAGGCAGTCAGTGCAAAGCTTACAAATATACGGCATCCCTGCAGCACTCAATTATTCATTTTCTCTCATCTTATAACTGTAATCCAGTTCGTGGAGGAACGTAAAAGCAGTGATCTCCTTACTCAGTTGTCTCCCTGGTGAGCAGCAGCAGGGTGTCCCAGGACACCTGGGTGTTGTTGAAGACGAGGCGTCTGACCCGGGAGAAGCATTCAGCCCATCGCGGCTCCAGGGTCACTCCTCCCAGGGGGTTCGAGCTCAGGTTCAGGAACTCCAGGTTGGGGATGTTAGACACGATTTTACTGATCTGAGAAACGAGCGATGATGTGTTTTCACTTTAGAAAGTAGAAATGTAAACAGAAAACTACAAAATTGATTTTACTTTTTGGACGGCAACAGATTTTTACTGGACATTAGAATTTGTCAACGGTGAGCATCATTATGTGTTTTTAATTGTTATCCATACACATGTATCGCTAATATTAGTAAGGTTACATTAGATAGTGAAACTAATATTTTTTAAATCATTATCATCTATTCTCTCAATCCATTTTCATTGTCACATTTAGTTTTTATCAACACACTGAAATATACTTTATCATCTCGGACAGGAGAATGAAGATTTTCACTATACTTTTTTACAAAAACTTCAGGCACTTTTTCCACTCAGATTCTTTTTAAAGAAATGGATGGAAATGCATCTTATGACAGAGAGGAATATTCCTTGGTTAAGTCCTAAGTCTTCCAGTGTTGTGACTCTTGTAACTCTTTAAAACATTGTACATGGGTACAATGACAATGAAGGAATTATATTCTGTTCTACTCTATTCTAATGTGTTGTATTCTATAAATGTTGCGTTTTGCGGGTTTGTTACAACAATCAACTACATTATCTTGGAATGGAAATGAACTACTGTAATAAACTGAGAGACGGCACCTCTTGCCAGTCCTGCAGCTTGTTGTGAGACAGGTCCAGCTCTATGACATGTGCGCAGAAAGCAGCGATCTCAGCCTGGTCTCCGGCCCTGTTGATCCCACAGCCGGTCAGCACCAGAATGCTGGGCAGGTTCAGACGGTCTGGAGGGGAGGTGGGGGAGGACGGAAGAAAATAAAAAGTAAGGGTTGGTCCGACAGAGGGGAAAGTTCTCACAGGAACAAGGATATTTATTTTGTTATGATCAAAGTGGCTTTGAGATGAAACGTAACGAGTCACAGGAAGCTTTGATATGTTACAACAAAGAATTTTCACTGAACACAATGGGAACGCGTGAGGTGTTAAAGTTCCAAAGTTTTAAACTGTTTATGAATGTACCACTGTTATACCGATGGCTGTTTGTGGCCTCAATAAACAACGACATAAGCTGCATTCACATGATACGTGCCTAAACGGCTGTAAATTATCGCGGAGTGCTGCTTCACATTATTTCAACGTTTTTGTTTATCGCTGACCTGTATGTATTAAACTAAAACAGAGCATTTTCTGTGAGCTCAGATTTTATTTCAGCTTTTTAAACTGTGGTATGTGCTCATGTGTTTCATTGTTGGTGTATACAGTAAGCTACTGCCTGAATATTCTTAACTAAAGGCAGGCTTTCCTATTCATAAAATCTCTGAGCAGAGGAAATATTTTTGATCATGAAGTATCTTGTATTTTCTTGATTTCATTGCATTTGATATTGAGGTAATCTAAAAGTAACAGAAAGTAATCAGGTTGCATTACTTTTATATTGGGATACTCAGATTTGGTTACTGATTAAATATTTGTACAGGAAACTAGTAATTGTAACAGAATAAATTTTTTTCTGTATATTTTATAATGTTCAGATACTCCTATTCCGTATATTTTATAATGTTTAGATTATCCTATTCTGTATATTTTATAATGTTGAGATACTCCTCTGAATAGAGATATTTTTTATTCAGAATATGTAAAGTATATATTGTTTTTACATTTTCATTTTTAATTTCTATCTTTGATTTATTTGTATTCTATTCAATTTTTTTTTAAATAATGTTGTCATTCCTGAAGATCTACTGTCGACATGCTGCTGTGACAAAATAATGTCCATCCATATCCATCGATCCATCCATATCCATCCATCCATATTAACCCTGAAGTAAGCCTCCAAACCCTGCATTTAAATCAGCCAATTATATTAAGTAAATAAAGCCTTGGCCCCTTCTTAGGAAGCTGTGGTGGGATAAGGAAAAAGTGATATGCCCGTGCAGCTCACCTTTCATAGGGGAGCCTTGAGGACATGTGATGGGCACCACCACCACTCCTATACCGGGCCCTCTGCGGACAGGAAAGTTCTCTGGGCTGTACTTTTCACTCATGACCTCGACAAAGGTACGCCCAAACACGTCCTGTAGAGGCTCCATGGCTTGGTCCTGCTGAACAGCCCCCTCTCACCTGATGTGGAAAGGAGATACAAATCCACATTGATCCGCTGTCCACTCATGCATGGGCCCTGTTTAACCAACCCAGGCATATTTGCTGCTAAATACATTACACATTACAGCACAACAGTTTATAAGGGCTGCAATTAGGCATATATGTTCCTTCAACTGATCAACATTTGACCTTGTTGCGATATCTTGTTTCAACAGTTACAGTTTATTATCCTTATGTGAACTCTTATCTGTACTGTCCTGTATTTCACTCTTACTCTGTTGCTGCTTTAACTACTGAATTTCCCTGCGGGTTTCAATAAAGGTCCATCTTATCTTATGTTAACTCATGATTATTTGATAACACTTTCTATGAAGAATATACGGTGGCCGACTGTTTGTTACTCTTCAGCTGATAATTCAAGTTATATTAATATAACATAGATCCATCTGATGTGTTTGAACCACTGTCCTGTCAAATATGTCTAATCTGTTTCTATTTCGAAAATATATAACATTAAGTGTCTTACCTGAAAAGACCTTTCCTTTGACTTGACCAGTATCACAGCTCACTGTCTTGTTAAGTTTGTAATGATGGCCTGTTAAAAAACACAAGAGTAGCTTAACTCCTTACACTGACAGATATATTTTATAACTGCAAGTGAAACAGAATGTCATTAACTATATTTTTGAAAAGGGCCTTTTCAGTAGTATCTTACTCCAGTGCTGTGTCTGGAAGATGTCTGCAGAAGAATTGCTGGTCCCTTTTTGGTCAGTTGCTCAAGGCAGACCAGGACAGAGAGGATCGCTCACCACATGACACTTGAAAACAAACAAAGTCAAAGATCACTGCCCTTTCTGCCTTGTTATTTATTTGCCAATATCAATCAAATTTAAGCCATTAAATATGTTTAACTTCTGTAATACTTTACAACACTGGTGCTGTGACTATAATATTAATGAATAATTTCCCCATGAGGGATACATAAAGTATCTATTTATTTATCTAAAATTCGTTCCCAGTAGGCTACAAACCAGACAGCAATTTCATCCAGAGGTTTAAACAAAAATAAGGACAATTGTCTTTCAGGGTTATTTGTAAGTATGCAGTAAGTAAGCCATTTACAGAACAACATTAGTTTAAAAACAATTACATTGGTTCTGACTTGTTTTGTTACGTGTTAAATCCGCTAAGCCGAACAGCCTTGATAAATCTATCAATTTTAAGTATCTTTGTTCATCAGTAAATCTGTACACATCTTGTAAAACATGGTAGCAATCGATGAATCCCAAATAACTCGTTGAATCGGCATATATTTTTGTTAATAAAGCAATGAGAAATGTAACAAAATGTCAAGTTTACTGGCTAGATCCTCTTACGGAGTAACATCTATTGGTTGAAACATGATAGCTGCATCAGCAGACAAACCTTATATATACAGTCTATGAGACAAACCGACTGTAAAGGTTGACATTTTATTGCACAATGTGCTACGTAATCTATTAGATTTACACCGATTTACAATGTAACTATTGTGGATTTTTATAAAATTCTCCCTGGTGTTATGCAACGGCCTATAAAGCGCAGGCATCTATAAATCGACTGTTTTGTTAATTGAATTTGGCAGGGTCTTTTTTGTAGGGAGTCCGCTGTGACAAATGTCGTTATTTTATTATTCTTTGCTTATCAGTTTACAGTTTATCAGTTTAAACCTGACAACCATCGATTCAACACACTATTGTTGTCAATTCGGCATTTACCCTTTTGACAAAGCAATAGTTATTAAGAACACATTTTTACTTTTAAACGTGCCTGCCTAGCTATAGCCCCTTACCAAGTTGAATCAGATTAGGAAGAAGTGGTCCTGGCAACAACATGCAGATCGATTATAAAAGATGATATTTCATTGTTTCAAGTGACACTTTTTCTATAAAATTAACGCCGAACTAATGTATACATGTTGCTGTTTTGTAATAGGTGTTATAGTGGGGGATTTATTTGATAAATATGTCAATAATATTAAGACAATTATAAATTCGCATATATTTTAAAGGAGTTTCCTTTTTTTTTTTTACTAAAAAGCTTGTAGCTAACCCTGTGCAAAAAATTACAACCCGGTTCCCCGTCATTTTCCCGGCTAAAGGAAACAACATAACTGATGAATAACAAGTACAAACTGCTGCTGTTGTTGCTTCTGAGCCCGGTAGCAGACAATACAGTCTGACCCCCAGCAGCAGCTCGATGGAGCCCGAGATGGATAACAGATGGCAACGATATAAAATACTTCCAATAATAACTACCTTATGAAAGTATGTCAATAATACGTCTCAAAAACGGATACAATAGAAGGTCTTCGTTCCACATACCTTTGATGTCTACTTAGATTTTTCCTTGTTATTAAAAACAAACCAGCTGTCATTTTGCTCGCCGATACATCCCGGAAGTGACATAGCTTGATAGCTGAAAATGAGTTGTTGTTTTTTTCCTTTTCATTTATTGATTTCTTTTTAGATTACCAGTTTAAAGTGGATATTTTATGAGCATCTTTTTGTCTCTATCCCACAAAATAAGAAAACAGATGCCCCTGAGACAAGGATGTCATTGTCAGTGGTGTCATGTAGTCAAAATACTCAAGTATTTTTTGAGATTTTGGAGTACTACAATACAGTAATTTATTTGAAACTCTGCTGCCAGTAATTTACTTTAAAATCCCCTGTAATTTTGTTTACAGTGTGTGTTAGCCTGCTGCTGCTGAAGCACATGACTTTTCTTGTTTAATAAAAAAACTCATCCTATCCTACACTGAAAAAACTGAAACGTTGACTTTAATTAAATGTATTATGTCAACAGATTTCACATAATTGTATTAGATTAGTCGAAAGCAATAGTATTAAGTTATACCTTCACATTTTGTTTAAACTTAATAGTATTGCTTTAAACTAACCTAATACAATTATGTCATTTTGTTCAGTGTATGGTAACAGGTGCATAATCAGATAAAAAACAAACAAGTAACTAGTGTACAACAATTTAAATAACATTCAAATAAATTGTTGACACGTTAATAGATCTTAAAAAATCGGCGACTTTAAAGTCACAAACCTTGTTTTCATGATGAACAATACCTATAAACCAATTTAAATGGATTGAAATATGTTTTTAAAAAAAAAGAAATTGCCAAATGTTTGTAGCAGGGCCCTTTTTCGGCAGGAGTTGTGATATATAAGAGCTTTGAATTTAAAGTAACCCATAAGTATTTAGATTACATTAATTTTGTTGTAATCCAATATAATACTTTATATATGATAAAAACTGTCATGTAGTTTATACTCCTAAGTATTGCATTCAAATGTATCTGACCCAGCCCAGATTATGCTGATAGAGCTTTGTCATGGCAGATATTTCAACATGTTATGGTAGAGAATGCAGACTTGAAACTAATGACAACAAATATGGCAAATTTCACTTTGATTTATGAGGTTAAAGGCCTTGGTTTTGTGTATTCTGGCTCACTTTAACGGCTTAATGAACACTTTACAGCACATAGACACGTAAAACAGTTGAAAACAGACATAAACAACAACCAAGACACTCAAAAATGAATAGAAAGAGGTACAAACATCGCCACAAAGACAAAACTCAACAGAAGAATATAACAAATTAGAAATTCTGTGTGTCTTTATTCTATATTTGGGAGAGCTGGTGGGGCATCTTGAATGTCAAGGTCCCATCAGTGAGTGGTGTCTTTTAATGTTTCAGGTGAAGAGAGCAAACCAAGTCAAACATTGCCACCTACAGGACAACACACTTCATGAACAATTAATACATGTGGAAAAACATAAATGGTAAAACAATTTAAGTAAAAGATTAGAATTTAAGCATTCTCAAGAATACACTTATCAATGCTCTCATTAAATTCAAGTTGGCATAATACATTTATGTCTAGAGTCTGAATCCCAAAGCTGCATCAGTCAGTTGATTACTTTTCTTTTTGTTGCAACACTAGTTTGTACATTCTGGTTTGGCCCGAGGTTTTCAGTTGACCGCTCCTACATTTTTTACGTCCTGTCAATTAAAGATCAGAACCAAATCCTCTTTTTGGTATCCAATGTATGAACCATCATCTTGTAGGGAAAAGTAAAATAGCTTTGCCTACTGTATGTAGCCTATTTGACTTACCTCTTTAAACACTGGATGATAGATACAGGATCACAATCAGATCAGAAATACTTTAATAATCAAAGAGGGAAATTGGTTTTTGTGACAGTTGTTTGATTTAGATTGAACAGAATAGAATACAATAAAACATATAATATAAATATAAGAAGTACAAATGCAAGACAAAATAAGATATATAAAAAGGAAACATGTAAGTAATATAATCCAGTGATATAATAAATATTATTTTGAAAATGGCCACTTTGGATATTAAATGAAGCTCAGCGCAAGTTCAAGTAGGAAGACTGGGCATACCTGCATATAATCAGCCATCATGGGTGTTCTCTTTTAAACAATTATTTCACCGCAATCTCCAGCAGCCCATCATCGTGCTGCAGTCAAACTTTGAAATCATTCTCCTCTCTCCTGCAGTCAGCTGTGATTTCAGGTGTCATGCTCCACCCCAACTACCTCCTTTCATCATGTCCAGTGCCCAGGAGAACTAATCTAAAGACCTCATCACACATCCTCTTCATCCCATCTCCTCATCAGATCCAGATCTTCAACATCACCACCAAATTCTAGACCCGGGGATCTCATCAGATCCAGATCTCTTTCTCCACTTTAAGATATACAATATCAGGATCGAGGTTTAATCGCCAAAGACTAATAGCATTTATATCACATGGCGCGTGTGTCAATAAATGTTCTTTTAAGCAAAAAGAATTTAAGTACTTTTAGATTGAGTAGTCAAGTATATTCTGCCGATAATACTTTTGTACTTTGTTTATGGATGGATGTTTACTTTAAACAGAATATGTCTACACCGTGGATTATTACTTTTACTTAAGTATAAGATCTCAGTACTTTTTCCACTCCTCATTACACTATTACACGCCAGTTGTTTTTTGAATGATAGAAGACAGAATGTGTTAATCTCTTTGCCTCTTAATGTGTGCATACTGTATGTATATACCGTATGTGTCTATGTTGATTATGTTTGTGTATATATATATATATATATATCTTTATGTGGGTGTACAGGTGTGTATGTATGTATATATATATACACATAGATGTATGTATATTTATATTTTTTAATATGTATATATTTGTATTTTTTAATCCCTCAGGATTGTGGGAAACAGTATTTCTATCTCTCTGTCTGTAGACACAAACTGAAAGATTGACAATAAAGTTGACTTTGACTTATATATTGTTGTGAAAATTGAAGGTCTAAATATTTTTTCTGTAATCGCACATATGAAGTAAAATGTACGGCTGATTGGAATGGCAGCGTGTGAATTAATATTATAATTAAATATTGTTACATTTTGTTTCTTTTTTATAACATTTCAACATTATATAAGTGATTGCTAAATTGAATTTTATTTAGATTTTACATGGACGTCATTCTAATTGTATTTTAAAAAATCATCTGTCCAAGGAATTCTAAAATTCAATTTAATCTGTGTAGTCAATTGACTAAATACAGGAATAGATTTAAAAAAGCAAATTCCATGGGATATTACATGCGTAGGACACTATGGATATGGGGATTTGTTGTTTTTGCTGAGAACACTTAAGGCAGATTGAAATTTGTCAAATCTCTTCAGTAAACCAAGTATTTAACCATATCCAACAAACACAATCATACACATTTTTTATTATTTATAAACAAAGCAATATTGGATAGAATGGGTGAGAGTGTGTGCCAGGATGTGAATGAAGCTGATTTCATGTATTTCATTCCATGGTTTGGTGACCCTACAGGGGCAGTTCTAGGGGGAGCCAGGGGGGGCCAGTGCCCCCCTAACACTGACCTCTGACCCCCCTGTGGCCCCCCTAAAAATGAAAAGTGAAAAAAGGTGAAAAATGTATGATTTATTTCACGATTTATTGAATGACGGAATAGGCGGAACTAACGTTATTCGTCATTCTAGTCGGACCCATTAGAGTGGTGCACTCACGTTCACTGTCCGGCTGAAGCGCGCAAAAAACAAACACTTTTCATCTCGGATCATCAGATGCTGTTGCATCCAAGAAAGACTGATTGAAACCTACGTTTCGAGAGACTACCACGATAATTGAAGGTGAGTTAAACTATTGTATCCGTGTAATTGTAGATGTAAAGTAGAGATGTAACTGTTCATTGCCTTTATTTTTATATAAATATGATATGGTGTTAGTGCAAAAATTGTACTATAACTTAAGCTGAAGCTAACAGTAATAACTATAAGATATATCTGAAATAAATAAGTTTACTGAAACAAATACCAATAACTGTATTGCATTGTTTTCTTATGCGCAATTACTTCAGACTGTCTAGTTCTCTTTTTCGTCCTGCATTTATTGTGCCCCCCTCAGAAAATAACTGGCCCCCCAGTGGCCCCCCCAAGTCAAATTGGTCTAGAACCGCCACTGCCTATATAGCCTTGTTGTGGAAGAGCTGTGGGATTGATGGTAGTGTTGCACTACAGTGTGTAGTTTTTATTGCAAAGCTCTATTAAATCATGCATCTTTGTGTACACCAACAGAGCAGGTGGAATAGAGTAATATTAAGAAAAAAGGCAACAAGCGAAAGAAAACTAGAATGTTTTTGCTCCCTGCTGATCCTTTGGCTGAATGAATCTGTTTCAAATATGTCTATTTGAAACAGATTCATATTTCACCATGGATGTGCCTCCATTGGTCAGCAGTATCACGGCAAAGTTTCATACAGTCTGTGTGTCTTCCAAAATATACATATTTGTAGATGTTAGGAGACATTGTAATTTCCTTCAGGGCAAGCTAACCACTTATACGCTAGACAAATGGGTTATGCTAGCCCTTATCAGTCACAGTAAGCGATGAACCGCTCCAGAGTTCACTAGCAAGCGTCCCGAGACCACCTCTTTTAGGCGGACCAGAGTCCGGTTGTTTAGTTCACATCAGAGGACTCGGACTGAACAAGAATGGTGAACTTATTGATGTAATATTACGGTAACTTGAGTTCTGCAACAGTGCCCTTTACACTGTGTTGGATGGGATGTAAACAGTGATTACCCTGACTCCCAGGGTACAAGTTCATAATTTCATGTTTAACTGATTGGTTAAATACACTGAAGTTCAACTCAGACCCCAAATATTTGTGCACTGCGTTGAGGAAAGGTTAAGAGACAAGTCTTTGAGAAAATCTATGTCAAGCAATGTACAAATGTTGGAAGTATAGCAGAAGATGGTTGGAAAGAGCAGTGATTAAGCTATTTTTGTAAAAAAGAAGCCACAGATAATAAGCCACTGG